CGCCGCCCAGGCCCCCGCCGCCGCCGCCGCCGCCGCCCTTCAGGAACGAGTTAACCAGGAACATGGCAGCGACTCAAGACTCCTAAGGAGAAGAGAAAGGGCGTCAGGGCCGCAGCCTCGCGCCGGAGCCCGCCCCTCCCGCAGAAATGTTTCGGAAGCTGGATGGGGCGCGGGGTGGGGGGGCCGCGGCCCGGGTTCAGGCTGGTGACGAGGGTTGGTGGTCCTCGGATGGGTGGGAGCGGAAGGATCAGGTTTGAAACCCACCGGGATAGAAAAGGGCAAACAGTCCTAGTTGGGTGGGGATGGGGAGGTAGAGGGGGGAAGCCCCCACATTTTGGGTTAAGGTGTACCTGGCGGGTCTGGAGGCTCAAATCTAAAACCCAGACACCACCATCACCCCAGTTGGACTTAGGGGCGCCGTGGCTCACGCCTGTCATCCCAGCTACGTAGGAGGCTGAGATCTGAGGATCACGGTTCTAACCCAGCCTGGGCAGGAAAGCCCGTGAGACTCGGATCTTCAATAAACCACAGAAAAGGACGGAGGTGGCGCGAGTGGAAGGGGCCGAGGGGCAGCGCCCAGGCCCCGAGTTCCGGCTCCGGGACCCGTGCACACGCACAGAAACCGCTCCATTTAGAGGTCTGGGCCGGAAGGGGTCGCGGGTCAGTTTCTCCCCGGGGTGGGGCTCAGGAAATTCCTAGTACGGGTGACAGCCGGACGGGTGGCTCGGGGTAACGGGGCCCCCACCCGAATGGCCGCAGCTCGGGGCCCCTGGGCGTGGGGGGGGCGGGGAGAAGACGCAACTAAGTAGATCTCCCCATCGCTAGGTTTATATTTTAGATCGGTCCGAGAACTGGATTTGATTTTGGACGAGATAGAAGGGAGGAAGGAGGGGGCGCCCCGGGGCGGGGTAACGAGGCTCGCACAGGCCTGGGGGCTCGGATCTGAGGCACCGCCCCACCCCTCCACGCGGCCTCGGGTCCTGCTACTTCTGGGTCTGTCGAGCATCAGATTGAGGGGTGCAAGGGAGTGGGGGGGGGGTTCTGGGCCGGGGTCAGCGCCTCACCCTTCCGTGGATCCGCGGCTCCGGGGCCTCCCGCAGCGTCCGGTTCTGGAGGGCGGGGCCGTGAGTCAGGCCCGGCGGCGGCCGCGGCGGCCGCTCCGACAGCAGGTAGGTGAGCTGCAGCTGCAGGTCGGACGCCGAGGGCCGCTGGGCCGGGGGCCGCCAGCAGGACTGCAGGATGTCGTACCTGGAGGGAGGGCAGGGGAAGAGAGGGGAAGGGTGAGCGGGGCAGAGCCCCCAGAGCGGCGACAGAGATCGCGGGGGGCCCAGGTGGAGGCCCCGGGACACGGAGCCGGGGAGGAGCCGGCCGGGGTGAGGCGGGGTCAGTGGGCGGGGTCGGAGAACCTCCCCTTCCATCCCCCCCCTCCCCATCTCCGCCACTCAGCGCCTCCGTGTTCCCCTCCAGGTCATGGCAGAGGCAGAGAGAATGTCCTCTGTCCACTCCTGGGGCCCAGGGAGGGCGAGTGGGGGTGCTGAGAGGTGACCCCGGGCAGCCCGCCCACCCCACCCCCGCACCCCCCACTCACCAGTAGTCCGCGTAGGGCAGCTTGAGCCTGGGGCGGGCCAGCTTCACGTGCTGCTGGCGGACCACGAAGGCCAGGACCTCCTCGTCTGACAGATGGCGGTAGGGCTGAGCCCCAAATTCAAACAGCTCCCACAGGGTCACCCCCAAGGACCTGCGTGGGGCGGGGGGCAGAGAGGTTGAACCCTCGCCCGGCGCCTGGAGGTCCGGCCCGCCCCATCGGGAGTCCTCTGGTCCCCCCCCCCCCCCCCCCCCCGCCTCACCAGATGTTGCTTTCCCGGCTCTGATCGACCACCATGAAGGTCCCATGCAGCTCCCCCAGCAGCTCGGGCGCGGCCCAGCGCAGCGGGATCCACAGGCGCTCAGGCGTCAGGTAGTAGTCCTCCTGGGGACCGGCGGGACCTGTGGGTCAGGAGGGTCGGGGGACCCCCCTCCGGGGACCCCGCCGCCGCCCGTCCGCCCGAGGCCGCCCACCTTGTAGTTGCTGTGCGCCAGCCCGTAGTCCCCGATGCGCACCGTGAGGTCGGAGGTCAGCAGGCAGTTGCGCAGCGCCAGGTCGCTGGGGAAGCGGGGGCGGGGCTAGCGAGTGAGGCCCCGCCCACACGCCCCAGCATAGACCTGCCCCTCGAGACCCCGCCCACTCACACTCTGACTCCTCCCCCACAGCCCCGCGGTAGTCTCTCTATGCCCCTCTCCTCATTCCTCCTCCACCCCTAGAAACCTCTCCACTCTGCCTTCTTCCTTTGCCGGGTCCCTCTCCTACAGCCCCTTCTCTCTGGCTCCTCCCACTTCGCTCCCAGACTCCCCCTTCATTAGCTCCTCCCTCTTCCTTGGCCACTCCCCTTCTTTGTTGGCTCCTCCTCCCCAGCTCCACCTTTTATCCGGCCTATCTCCTCCTTTATCCTCTTCTCTTAGAAGTTCCTCCCATCCTTGGCTCCTCCCCATTTGTGTTGGTCCCTCCCCTGGCCCCCCCCTGCCTATCTCCTGGCCCCTCCCTGTCTGTATTGGCTCCTCCCCATCTGCTGCCTCCTCCCTTGTCCTATCTCTTCTGATCCCTCCCCATCTCTACTGGCTCCTCCTTGGTGCTGCCTGCTTCTTAGCCCCTCCCCATCGGTGGCCCCTCCCTTGACTCTGCCTCTTTCCTGACCCCTGACCTTGTTGGTTCTGCCTCTTTCTAAACCCTCCCCATCACTACTGGCTCCTCCCTTGGCCCAGCCCATTTCCTGTCCCCTCCCTGTCTGCTGGGTCCGCCCCTGGCTCCGCAAAATTTCCTAGCCCCTCCCCATCACGATTGGCTCCTCCACTGGCCCCGCCTTTTTCCTAGCCCCTCCCCATCGCAGTCGGCCCCTCCCTTGACCCCGCCTTTTCCTAGCCCTGCTCAGCACGATTGGCTCCTCCTTAACCCGCCCACTTCCTGCCCCCTCCCTGTCTATGTTGGCTCCTCCTCCTCCTGGGCCACTCCCCGCCTGTGTTGGCTCGGGCTCCTTTCCTGTTTCTCTGCCTTCCCTGTTGGCCTGTCCTCCCTGGACTCCCGTGGTCTGTCTGGGTTTAGAGCCGGCCACTCCCGACCCCCCTACCCTGGGCTTCTCCCCAGCCTGGTCCCGGAGCTCCGGGCCTGCCCACCTATGCACGTAGTTGTGCGAGTGCAGGTGCGCCAGGCCACGGGCGATCTCCAGGCCCATCCTTTGCAGGGTCCGCAGGTCTCGAGGAGGCAGCTCGGGGGACATGCCCTCGGGGGGCCGCTGGGCCCGGAGGTATCGTTTCAGGTCCCCCTGGGAGGGAGGCGGGCATGGATCACTACATAGTCCCTGCCAGACATTGTTCTGAAGGAGGGGGGGAGGGGAGGAAGCAGTCTCTCCGAGCCTCAGTTTCCCTTGCAGTGTGAAAGGAGTAATGACAGATCCACTTTGCCTGCTGGCTCAGAGCAGCCATGCATCCAGGAAACCTCAAGAAATGTTAAGGCCGGCACCCAGATGTCTCGTAGTGATGATGGGGGAGGTCGGGGGCTCCTGGGACCCCACTTGCCCTCCTCCCCCATCACCCAGTCCCAGCCCCTCACCAGCTGACAGAACTCCATGATCAGCAAGAAGGGCAGCGTCTCCACACAGAGGCCCAGGCACTGGAGGACGTTGGGGTGCTGCAGGCTTCTGTGGGGGAACCAGGAGAAGGAAGCATCAGGAGGGAGGGGCCAGTGTAGGGGGAGGAGCCTGGATGGAAGTGGGAGGGGCCAGGGGAGGCGAGCAGGGGAGGGGCCAGGAGAGGAGTGGGCGGGACTACGATCCAGCCTCACTGTCCAGCCCAACTTCAGCTCAGGCTCTGGCCTCAGTTTCCTCCCTGGCAGTATCTGCCCACCCAACCCATCTCTTCTCAGGCACCGCCCTGGCTGGCCTGCAACAGGCGGCCTCAGAGGTCCCTGCCTCTCCTCCCTCTTCCCCTTCAACCTTACCCCGCTCCTGCCCTCTCCCACCTTCTCCCCTACACAAACACACCCCTCAGCTCCAGCCTCAGTTTGTCCCTGGCTTCTATGGCTCTCAGTTGTCCCCCAAGGGCTGGTGTCACCCAGCCCCTGCTCAGGCTCTTGCGGGAGGACACCCTGCCTTCCCCAAGCTCCTAGCCTTGGCTCAGGCCCCAGCTTCAATCTCAGCTCCGCGTCGCCCCCCAGTGGTGAGCCGGCCATGGCCCACCTGCACCCTCATTGTGGAATCACCAGTAAGTCATTGCACCTCTCCCTACCTCTGTTTACCTCATCTGAAAAGTGGGGGGAAGGGTACTAACCCCCTCATATGGGTATTGCAGGTTTAGTGGATCAGTGAGGTAATGGGACGTGGTGGGGAGAGGTTTGAGCTATTACTGCTTTAAAAAGCAGTATTTTGTATTTTAAGACAGGGTCTGGCTGTGTATCCACTAGTCTGGAACACTCAATTTTTTTTTCTTTTCTTTTTTCTTTCTTTCTTTCTTTTTTTTTTTGCCAGTCCTGGGCCTTGAACTCAGGACCTGGGCACTGTCCCTGAGCTTCTTTTGATCAAGGCTAGGGCTCTACCACTTGAGCTACCACCACTTCCAGCTTTTTCTGTGTATGTAGTATTGAGGAATTGAACCCAGGGCTTCATGCATGCTACTCTACCACTAAGCCACATTCCCAGCCCACTCTACTGTCAATCTTCTTGCTTCAGGCTTCTGAGAGCTGGGATTACAGGGCATCTACCACCATGCCCAGCACTATCACTGTTCTTTTTATTCTAACATGTGTTGGGCTTTATTTTTGCCTTCAATTCTAACTGCATTTCCAGGAAGTCTTTTTCTGATTCCAGATTTTCCCATATGCTTGCTTCTCCCAGTGCCTGGAACACACTTCCCACAATGCTTTGCATGACAGATACCTCCTCGTTTCCCTGTCCAAAGGGCCTGTTTCTGTCACATAATGTCCCTGCCCTTTCCTTATGGGCCTTGTCGTTTTCGAATACTTTCTCTTTTTTACTCTTTATTTAGTTTGGTGTTTGGAGACAGGCCGTCACTGTGTAGAGCATCCTGGCCTGAAACTTATCATTTCTTCTAAGTGCTGGGATTACAGACATGAATTAACACACTACACCAGATGTACAATCAAACCAAGCATGGGGAAGGGCGTTTCCCTTCATACCTATCTATTTTGGAGTCTGAGGGAGCATTAAGCATGTCAGACTTCACACTCCAGGACTCTTCCTGAAGTGGGTACACAGTGAGTTGTTTTCTTCTTTTTTTTTTTTTTTGGTCAGTCCTGGGGCTTGAACTCTGGGCCTGGACACTACTCCTGAGCTCTTCAGCTCAAGGCCAGCGCTCTACCACTTGAGCCACAGCACCACTTCCGGTTTTCTAGTGGTTTACTGGAGATAAGAGTCTCATGGACTTTCCTGCCTGGGCTGGCTTTTGAACCACGATCCTCAGATCTCAGCCTCCTGAGTAGCTAGGATGACAGGCGTGAGCCACTGGCGCCCATCTTGAGTTGTTTTCATTCTGATATCAGCACTAAGGGGCTGTCATCCTGCTTGAATGAAAACCATGCATCTAGCTGCCACATGCTAGGACCTGAGAAATGGCTGGTGCTGGTAAACTGAGGCTGATGGAGGAAGAAGGAATCCTTAGCTGACTGTCACACTGCAGGATGATGGCCCCTGCATGCCATGCAGAAGGAAATGAAGGCTCAGAGATGTGAAGTGACTTGCCCGGAATTACACAGCTGCGATCTGATCTCAGTGCGGTGCTGTGCTGTCCTACAGAACTTTCCCTGAAGACAGAACCATACCAGGCCAGGGGCAAACTGGCCACATGGGATCATGTGGCCACTCGAAATGTGGAAAGTGTGGCCGGGTAAAATGATGCTTAATGACTTTCTTCCTCCCTTTCTTCTTCTTCTTCTTCTTCTTTTTTTTTTTTTTTGGTATGGTGGTTTAAACTTAGGGCTTTGCGCTTCGTAAGCTGGTGCTCTACTGCTTGAGCCACATCTCTAGCCCAAGTTATTCTACTTATTATTGACATAGGGTCTAGTTTTTTCCCTGGACCAACCAACTTGGACGGTGATCCTCCTATTTATTCTTCCGACAGCTGGGATGACAGGCCCACACCACCATGACCCAATTAGGGATTGAGATGGAGGGGTAGGCCAGGGCTAGCCTTGAGCCGCAATCCTCCCGTCTCAGCATGAGCCACTAATGTCTGGCTGCTGTCACTGAGTTTGCTTTAAATGTAAACAGCCATTTGTGGTCAGTGGTTTGTCAGCAATGGAATAGGCAGAGACAGGCGATAAAAGGGAAATTAATGACAAACTGGGATATAAGCTATGAAAGAAAAAAACAAAAAACCACACAAGATGGTATCACGGACTATTCCAGGCACCTTGTACATGGGGGTCAGCAAATAAGGACGAAACTGAAAAGAGGAAGCTGGGTGCCAGTCGCTCACACCTGTACTCTTAGCTACTCAAGAGGCTGAAATCTGAGGCCTGAGGTTTGAGGCAAGAAAGTCCATGAGACTTACCTCCAATGAATCACAGAAAAAGCCAGAAGTGAGCTGGGAAGTTGGCTCAGTGGTAGAGCGCTTGCCTTGCATGCCTGAGGCCCTGGGTTCGATTCCTCAGCACCACATAAGCAAAAAGAAAAAAGCCGGAAGTGGCGCTGTAACTCAAGTGGTAGAGCGTTAGCCTTGAGCTGAAGAGCTGAGGGACAGTGTCCAGGCCCAGAGTTCAGGCCCCACGACTGGACCAAAAAAGAAAAAAGAAAAAGAAAAAGCCAGAAGTGGAGCTATGGCTCAAGTGGTAGAGCGCTAGCCTTGAGCAAAAGGAGTCCAGGGACAGCACCCAGGCCCAGAGTTTAAGCCCAAAAGAAAAAAGTGAAAAGAGGAAGGGAGCCCCCAACTTCAAGCTGGAGATGAAGAAACAAGCCGTGATACTCTAGAGAAAGGGAGAAACAAAAGCCAAGGTCCTGTGGCAAGAAAGAGGCTGCCATGTAGGAGAGTGAGGGGATAGTAGCAACAAGGGCAGAGAAGCCAGGTACAAGTGGCTCACACCTGTTATCCTAGCTACTTCAGGAGGCTGAGATCTGAGGATTATGGTTCAAAGCCAACCCAGGCAGGAAAGTCTGTGAAACTCTTATCTCCAATTAACCACTAGAAAACCGGAAGTGGCGCTGTGGCTCAAGTGGTAGAGCGCTAGCCTTGAGCTGAAGAGCTGAGGGACAGCGTCCAGGCACAGAGTTCAGGCCCCACGACCAGACCCAAAAAAGAAATTAAAAAAATAAAAAGGGCCCCACAGAAGAATGGGACTGCCCCAGGAGCAATAGGCAACAATCATGGGGTGAGTGTCAAAGTCCACTCAAGTCTCAGGGTGAACTTGACATTTACCAACGGTTCTGATAAGGAATTTGCGTACACAGCCTTTCCATATCAGGAGACTCTACCTCTGCGTGAAATTATCAGGCAAATGTTTACTCAGAGTGGAGGCAGAGCTCTGTAGTGATCTCAAACCACTGCAACACTGTAGTGGCCCTCTTTCTGAACTCACTTACCAAATGAAGCTCTGGGGGTGCTCAGCTCAGGTCTTGCTGCAGGTCCCTAGCTCTGGGCTCCAGGAGGGAGAGACTGAGCTAAGAGGTACACAGCCAAGAAGAGAATCTGGGGTTTGAAGCCAGACTTGGCCCCATCCTGAACTCCTTCCACCTCCATGAGGGGTAACCTAGCACACACCCTCAGGAGGCTGAGATCTGAGGGTCACATTTTGAAGCCAGCCTGAGAAGGAGAGTCTATGAGATTCTGATCTCCAGTGAGCCATCAAAAAAGCTGGAGTTAGGGCTGGGAAGGTGGCTTAGTGGTAGAGTGCTTGCCTAGAATGCATGAAGCCCCGGGGTTCGATTCCTAAGTACCACATAAAAAGCAAAGGCCAGAAGTGACGCTCTGGCTCAAGTGGTAGAGTGCTAGCCTTGAGCAAAAGAAGCTTGGGGACAGTGCCCTGACCCTGAATTCAAAACCTAGCACTGGCACCAAAACAAAACAAAAAAAGCCCCCTTCACCTGTGGGTTTCTAGAACACACATCCACTGAGATACCTGTAGGGCTGAGCTTCGGAGATGAACTTGCGCTGCTCCAGGGGCCCAGCACTGGCCCTGAGCTCCTTCACCACCACCTGGGCCGGGGTGTAGTCAGAGAAAATCTCCCCCAGGATCACCTGGCCAAGGGGCACCTCAGAATCAGGGACAGCCATGTCTCCAGCCCGTCCCTCCTCCACCGCCAGCTCCATCTTACAGCTCCTGATCCACCCCCCTTCCACCCCCTCCTTCATCTCCCACCTCCCCTGTCCCCCAGCAGACACAGGGTGAGACTCACGGGCCCAAAGTCCGATGGACGCAGGGACGGATGGAAGGATGGACAGACGGACGGATGCGTGGAGAGCCAGGTGACGAGGCGGAGTGGCCAATGGAGTGAGGAGGGAGATGCTGACCGACAGATGTGGGGTGGGTGGGGATGGGCCGGGTGGGAGCAGGTGAGGGGCGGACGTAGGGGGGATGGGTGGGCTGGGGGAGGTGAGAGGGGCAAATGAAAAATGGTGAGAGCGAGGCAGGGATGGACACAGAACAGGAGTCCAGGCCAGGATTGTGTGCCCCCTTGTCCCCCAGCCCCCAGCCCCACTCACCTTCCCAAACCAGCCGCTCCCAATCTCCTGTAGATAGCTGAGATGCTGGCGGCTAAGGCCCAGGGGGGTGGTCATGTCTGAAGAGGGGGTGGGAGGGGGAGGCCCTTGAGCATCTCTTTCCTCCCAGGGACACCTTCCAATTCAGTGAAGACTGGGGTCCAAGCAGACACCAATCTCCTTCCATTGGCTGCGCCAACATTCCAAAACAGGATCTGAGCCTTCTCATTGGCTGTCCACAAGATTCCAACATCCAATCAGCCCTCTCCTTTGGCCTCCCAAGTTCCAATGACTTGAGTTCAGGCCTCTCATTGGCTACCTCGGAGATTGAGATCGAGGCAGATCTCAGCCTTCCTGGTTCCCCAAAGCATCTCCACATCTGGTTTAGGATATTAAGCAATGGCTCCCCGCCAAGATGATCTGTCTGCCTCTCTCACTTCCAAGAATCTAGCCTCCCCTTCTCTGCCTTTCATTGAAGAAAAGGTCCTCAGGGACCTACAGCCCTGTGCCCCCAGGACCCTGGGCTGGTGCAGTACCTGAATGTGCAGGCTGCGGGGCTGGCATTGGCAGGGAGACCTCAGCCAGAGGGAGAATGTAGACATCAGGCAGCGACTGCGAGGAGGAGGTCTCCTCTGCAGGGGGGGTGTACTCCCCAGAGCAGTCCTCCCCTTCGGGGTTCTCAAACTCCTGGAGCCAGGAGAGGAGAAAAACATGGGGCTGAGAGGCGTGCCCGCATTATGTCATAACTGCCCCCCATGCCATCTGCCCTCACCCCCAAGTCCCAGCCCAACTTCCACCCCAGTGTCTAGATCCCAGAGCCCCTGGTCTGCACAACTTCAAGCCAGGTGTGCTCTCAGGCTTGCTGCCCCTCCCCGGCCAACCACCTGCGGTAGAGAAGGGCCTTGCTGGGGTCCCCCAGACCCCGTCCCCAGGCAGCCCCTTCAGCCATCTCACCTTGAAGCCAACATCACCCCTTTTGCAGCACAGACAGGTGAGGAGGAGAAAGATGAAGGCCAGCAGGCCAGAGCAGGAAATGAGGACCACAGCGTAGGGAGGAGCCAGGGGGGCCCGGCCAAGGGCGAATCCGTCTGTGGGTACAGGTTCGGGCTAGGCTTCAAGCCATTGGCTCTTGTGCTCCATGCCCCTCCTATCCTGTTGTAGTCTTAGACTACAACTCCCATGGTGCTCTGCGACCAGAGGCCCCTTGGCAGAAAGGCTGGGTGGCCCAGCGGTATTGTGGGAGTTGTAGTTTGCGGCCTTCCCAGGTGGTTGGGCTGGGGGTGAGGTCCCTTCTGTAGCCCCACCGCATCCTTTCACCCCAGGTTTGGATGGATTCCAGGGAGGATGAAGACAAGGAATGTGAGGCGATAGTGAGGGCTGGAACCGTGAGAATTTAACATACGCTGGTGGGGACAGCCTGCTTATCCCCCATTTAAGGAGGGGGGTGATTGCCAGATGAAAGCTGGGGGAAGAAGCTGGTGCCCCTGAGCCCCCACCTGGCCCGGCACAGGCGGCTGGGCTGGGGCCTCTCCTAAGGGCGCTGGGAGCGCAGGCTTGCCCTCTATTCCCCAGCCCAAGCCCAGGGCCCCCCCAAAAGCAGAGACAGCCGCTTAGGCTGTGTCCCCCCCCCAGGCCCCAGTTCTCCCGGGGCCCTGTCCTTCCCCGCCCGCGCCCGCACACACTCGCGTGCGCGCACACAGGCGTGCACACACACCCGGCCCACAGGCCCTGCAGCCCCAGGCCCAGCCCGGCCCGGGGGGGGGGGCGCGCACAGGTGATGGGGGCCGCGGTGGGGGCGGGGGCCGGGCCCCGCCGATGGCCGGCAGGACGCACTCACCGGGATGGACCGGGGACGCCAGGCAGCCCGAGAGAGAGACGGCCGCGAGGAGGATGAAGGCTCCCGGAGCAGGCATCTTGTCGAGGATGGAAGGGAGGTGCAGGTGGTGGCGGCTGGGGAGGAGGGGGGGCGGGCCCTCAGCCCCCAGCCATGGGGACCCACTCGACCCTGGCCTCCCCTAGCTCAGGAGAGGGGCGGGAGACGCAGCACAGGGGGAGGGAGGGGCTGCTTACTGGCTCAGGTGCCCCCCTCCCCCTATTTGAAGGGATAGACAGATGAAGGGGTGGAGAGGCAGACAGAGGCGAGGAGCTGGGGAGCCGGGGTTGCTGGGGTAGGGGGGGGAGAGGGTAAGATGGGGGGGAGCGAGAACGAGGGCCCCGCCCCCGAGGACAGCCACGATTGGGGGAGAAGAGAGCCTGTCAGAGGAAGGGTGGGAGGAGGGAGGATGAAGGGAGGATGGAGGGTTGTCATGGCAACCGGCTCTGGGTAGCATTGGCTGCCAGGAGGAAGGGGAGAGAGGGGAGGGGGAGACAGACAGGGACCAGCAGACCCTTGGGGGGGGGAGTGCTCAGGGTCCACAGCGCCTGGCTCTGACACCACTGTGCCATACCACTGTCAAGGACACGTGTGTCACACGCTAAGAGGGAGAGATGTGAGGCACATGCAGCTCACACACCGCTGACAAGCCGCAGGTCCCTCACACATGGGCACAGCACATACAAAGGTGGACAGCGTGCAGCAACCGGGGAGACACACACACACACACACACACGTCACACACAAAAGACGCAGGGACAGGCTGCATCAGGCATGCACAGGCAGACCCGGCTCCAGTACAAATGCACCAGGCCACGCAGGAACAACCAAGCATGCCCAAGACCCACATGCACCACAGACCCACCGACAGGTGCCACAAAGAGAGATCCACACAGATGCCACAGTGAGAGGCAGAGACACCCACATTCACAAACATCTCAGAGACAAATGGGAGACAAAGAACCCTCCAGTCACAGACATGCACAGACAGGATCCCAGGAACACACAGAGACACGGATCTGTGTGCATTCACAGACACACGGAACACAGACAAGGGAGGGACACAGAAATCCTAGAGTTGCTCCGTGCCCCGAAACATTCGTTCACACAGATCAGATGCAAAAAGGCACCTGAATACATGGCCCACCAAGATACACACACACACACACACACACACACACACACACACACACACACACCTCGGGCCATTTATAAAGCTTGATGCATCATACACAAACATGCAGATACACAAGCAGACCTGGCCAGCCATGCATCCCATACCTGCGCAGGCGTGGACACACGGTACAAACACGCACTTCAGACAAGGTTCCAGAGACTCCTAACCCTGCCACGGTCACATGTCGTGTACATAGGCACTCACAGGCACACACAAACACATAGGAAGATCCAGAAACACATCACACGCAAAGACGCAGGCAGACGCACGCAGCACAGAAAACCCACATTTCGCTGCACACACATTACACAACCACAAGCACAAAAAGTACAGAATCATTTGCTTTTGTTTGTTTATTCTTAAATGACGAAATAGGCAGGAATCTCCATGTATCACCTTTGACTCTCCACCAAGCCCTTCCAGACAGAAACTTCCCCCCTTGTACAGGCAGGGAAACTGAGGCACAGCGTGGGAGGGAAGCTGCCAAGCTGGGACTGGACCCCGGTGGTCAGGGACATGGACACATCACACAAGGACATACACACGACACGTGCCAGGCTGCCATCTCGGGGTTCGCCCCACAGCACCCCGAACTGCAGACACACCCGGAAACGCAGACTCCCACCCTGGGCGAGGACCTCTCCATCTTCCGCGAGCACCGGCGACGCGTCCCCTCCGCTGCGGCTGGGCGGGAGCTGCGCACCCCGGATGCAGCCTCCGCAACACAAGGGCGCCCCCTCCCAGGCGCGCGCTCCCGGAACCCCAACCCGCGATCAGGGTCCCAGGCTCTGTCCCCCCACCCCACGTCTGCGATCAGGGGTTGCAGGATCTGCCCCCCGACCTGCGATCAGGGGTCCCAGGATCTGCCCCCCGACTTGCGATCAGGGGTACCGGGCTCTGCCCCCCCAACACCTGCGATCAGGGGTCCCGAGCTCTGCCCCCCCCAGCCCTGCGATCAGGGGTCCCGGACTAGCCCGCGGCTGCCCCGCGCTGGGGACACCAGGAAAGGGGCAGGAGGACTCTCCCTTAAGGAAATCTCCTTGGTGAAACTGAGGCAGGACTATCAGGGAGGGAGGCAGCGGATAGAATTAAGGGAATGGGGGGGGGGGTGAGGGTGCTGTTCCCCATCCCCCTTCCCCTCTGGCTGAAGGGCACCGAACCTAGCGGAGGAAAGGATGCTGGGAGTTGTAGTCTCAGCCCTGAGACTTGTGGGAAATGTAGTCCTGGTCCTGCTTTCTCTAGGAGGGAGGATCAGGTGCATCCGCTCTTGGGACCCGGCGGCGGCGGCTGAGTCGGGGGTCGCAGGGCCCCGAGTCGCAGGGGTCGGGGGTCTGCTGCCTCGATCGCTGGGAACAAGGCGTCTCAGCGTGCCCCAACTCTGTCTCGGACTGGCAGATTATGAATTCACTTAACCAACAATCATAACGCTGGTCCCGTGAAAGGCCTGGGTGCGGGGTGGGGGTGTCCTCCCCTTCTGGGGGGTCTTAGGGAACCGCAGGAAGCGGCCTCCTGCCGCTCATCCAGCATTATTTTGCAAAGGTTGTGTTTATTTTTATTAAACTAGCTTAAATTAATTCTTTAAAGTAGTTGCACAAGTGTGTTTTGTTTTGGTTTCATTTGGGGTGTTTTATTTATTTATTTTTGCCAATCCTGGGGCTGGAACTCAGCCTGGGCACTGTCCCTGAGCCTCTCTGTGCTCAAGGCTAGCACTCTACCACTTGAGCCACGGCACCACTTCCAGCTTTTTCTGTGTATGTGGTACTGAAATATCAAACCCAGGGCCTCATGCATGCGAGGCGAGCGCTCTACCACTGAGCCACCTTCCCCGCCCCACAAGTGTGTTTCATTGTGTCATTTCCACACAGGAGTCCCAATTAACCACAGCCCATCTGTCACTCTCCCTATTCTCAAAAACCAGCTCAACAGGTTCTCACAGTTCTATTTTCATATATGCAAATAAGCTACCTTGACCATAATCACTCCTCATTTCTTGATCCCACGCACACACCTCCCAGCCTAATTTACTTTCTTATCTTTTTATTGCCAATTTGTATTAATTGTACCTAGAGGTTCCACTGTGGTATTTCAGACATGTGAACTTTTGTGAGTTTTGTTCTTTTCTTTTAGACAGGGCCTCAATATGTAACCAAGCCTGGCCTTGATTACCCATCCTCCAGCTTCTGCTTCCTGAGTGCTGGGATTACAGGTGTTAACTGCCCTACCTTGCCTTGAAGTGTATTGATTTCAAAGATATGGACTTTTTCCTCCCTCCCTCCCTCCCTTTCTCCCTTCCTTCCCTCCTTCTTTCCTTCCTTCTATTCTCTTTCTTTTTTTTTTTTTTGGTCCGGTAGTGGGGCCTGAACTCTGGGCCTGGGCACTATCCCTCAGCTCTTCAGCTCAAGGCTAACACTCTACCACTTGAGCCACAGCGCCACTTCCGGTATTTTTCTTTTTGCTTATGTGGTGCTGAGGAATCGAACCCAGGGCCTCAGGCATACAAGGCAAGCGCTCTGCCACTGAGCCACCTTCCCAGCCCTATTCTCTTTCTTTTTTTGCCAGTCCTCAGGCTTGAACTCAGGGCCTGGATATCGTCCCTGAGCTGGTTTTGCTCAAGGCTAGCACTCTACCACTTGAGCCACAGTGCTACTTCTGGCTTTTTCTGTGTATGTGATATTGAGGAATCAGACCCAGGGCTTCATGCATGCTAGGCAAGCACTCTACCACTAAGTCACATTCCCAGCCCCACAATATTTTTTTCTATAGGCCACAGTAAAGATGATACAGTGGCTACGGGTGAGGCTCAACTGGGGGGTGGCTTGAGTTGTTCTAGCACCAGCCTAGCCGGCTATCTTCGGGCCTGCACTTCAATTCCAGTACACCAAAGGGGGAAAAAAAATAAGGAAATTACAAATTGTTTTGAAGCTGGGCATCAGTAGCTCACTCCTGTAATCTTAGCTACTCAGGAGGCTAAGATCACAGTTTGAAACCAGTCCGAAAAGAAAAGTGCCCATGAGACTCTCATCTCCAGAAAACCAGAACACCAGAGGTGGAGCTGTAGCTCAAAGCGGTAGAGCGCTAGCCTTGAGCAAAAGATCTCAGGGACAGCACCCTGGCCCTGAGTTCAAGACCCATAACCAACAAAAAAAAAAAAAAAATTGAAAAAAAAACCCTAAAATACTGCCAAGCCAAGTGGCACACCCTGTAAGGTTTGAAGGTTGAAGCAAGAGGATAGAGAATTGTTCAAGGCCAGCTTGGGCTGTGTAATGAGACCAAAGCAAGCAGCACCCCAACTCACCGGACAAAAACCAAGATGTCCTGGGAGAGGAGATCACCGAAAATAGGCAGCAGAGGAGAGCAAGGAACGGCATGGTGGGCGGAGGGAACCGTGCATGCAAAGGGAAGGGATTCATGGCTGTGGGTGTGAAACGATCAGAGTTTAAGGTCACCAGGGGCCAGCCGGGACACTCACCCACTCTCACAGAGATCCACCCAAGGATGAGCTAAGCCCTGGCCAAGTGTCACACTGGTCCAAGTAAGTGTCCTTTGCAATAGGATGGGAAGGGTGTGGTTTCGGTTGGGTGGGGGGGCAGGAAGGTGACTCAGGCATGCATCACAGACAGGAGGGACAGAGAACCCAGCAGAAGGCAACCTAGAGGTGGGGCGCCCCCCCCCCACATCCTCTCAGGGAAGCGGGAGAGTGAGTCAGAGAATTGCAGCCCGGGTGAGTCAGCCACGTGAGCCGGGATGGACAGGTGGCCCAGCGTGGAAGCTTTTTTTTGGAGGGGGGGTTCATCAGAGATTAGAGTCTCCCAGACTTTCCTGCCCTGGCTGGCTTCAAACCACAGTCCTCAGATCCCAGCCTC